TGTCCACACCACCGGAAAAATAAACAATTTAATCAAATTTTAACACATTCTCCGTTCAGCAGCAGCTATATTTCACAACTTTCACTTGGTGTTTGTTTTGGACATTTTCTTGCTTTGTTTCTTTTTTGGTTTGGAAAATGGAAAATTTCTAAATGGGAAAGGGAAAGAAGCGGAAACCCATTTGAAGACGGAAATTTGTAATTTATAAGTTTCGGAAAAGCAACTGGAAAATTGTTTCGTTCCGCAGAAAAAAAACGCCGAGCGAATGTTTAAAGGGAAAGTTCGAAGTTCGGAAAATTATAGAAGAAATTGATGGACATTTTTCGTAGAAAGAAGACTTTGTAGGGAAGGACTTCTAGAGAAAGGGTTTTCTATCAATAATAGCCACAGAAGACTTCAAGACTAGAAGACCAAAGGAAGGTCTTCTATCAATAGGAACCATAAAAGACTTCAAGACCAGAAAACTTGCGGATAATATAACCTCAAGAACCTCACAAAAGATCCTGAGGAAGGTCTTATATCAATAGGAGCCATAAAAGACTTCAAGACAAGAAAATTTGCGGAAAATATAACCCCAAAAACCTCTAGAAGGTCTTCTGGGCACAAAAGACCCGGGGAAGGTCTTCTATCAATAGGAGCCATAAAAGATTTTAAGACAAGAAAATTGCAAAAAATATAACCTCAATAACCTCTAGAAGGCCTTCTGGGCACAAAAAACCCAGAAGAAGCAATAACATTTTTGAAGATTAGAAAAGTTGCAGAAAATATAACCTACAAACCTCTAGAAGGTCTTCTGGGCACAAAAGACCTGTAGAAGGGGTTCCATCTACAGAAGATGCAGAGAAGATCTTAAGCACCTCTAGAAAGTTTTATAGGTACAAAAGACCTGCAGAAGGGGTTCTATCTTCAGAAAATGCCGTGAAGGTCTTCTAGCCATGGAGGACATTTAGAAACTCTTCTAGGCACAAAAGACCCGTAGAAGCTCTTGTATACACCGATGACGTCTAAAGTCTTCTATACCTAGAAGACCTCTGGAAAACCTTCTAACCCCAAAAGATCTCAAGAAGCTCTTCTTGATAAAAAGTCCTCTCAAGTAAGGCTCATAGGCACAGGGAACCTCTAGAAGTTATCTTAAAAAAAAACTTATAGGCCAAATAGATCTCTAGAAGATCTTCAAGCCATAGGTAATATCTAAAAGGTCTTCTAGGCCCAAAAAGACATATGGAAGGGTTTCTAGCCACAAAAATCCTCTAAAAGGATCTTTAAGGCACAGAATATCTCGAAGAGGTCTACTAACTAAAGAAGACTCGTCGAAGGTCTTCTCTTCACACGGAAACTTTAGAAGGTCTTCTAGCCGCTGAATGTCTTTAAAAAAGTTTTCCAGGAACAAAAGATCTCAAAAAGGTCTTCAAGCCATTGAGAATATCTAAAAGATCTTCTGGGCACAAAAGACCTCTAGAAAGTTTTCTAACCTCAGAATCCCTCTAGAAGGTCTTTATGTCACAGAATATCACTAGGAGATCTGATAACCAGGTCTTCTAGCCATAGTGTATCTCTAGGAAATCCTCGAAAAAGTATTCTAGCCACCAAGAGACCCGTATAAACTTTTCTACCACAGATGACCTCTAGAAGCTCTTCTAGGCACAAAAGACCTCTAGAAAGTTTTCTAGCCACAAAACCACTTTACAAGGTCTTTTAGGCACATAATGCCTCTAGGGGATGAAAGAAGACTTATTAAAAGTCTTTAAGACACAGCGGATCTCTAGAAAATGGTAGTAATGGTAGCCACAAAAGAATCTTGTCTACCCACAGAAGACCCTTAGTAGGTCATCTAGCCGAAAAAGATCACTAAAAGTTTTTCTAAACGCAGACGATCTCTAAAAGTTCTTCTAGACATAAACGATCTCTAAAAAGTCTTATAGCCATAGACAACCGCTAGAAAGTCATCTGGGAATAGACGATTTCCAGAAAGCTACAGTATAAGACCTCTTAAAATTCTTCTAAGCTCAAAAGATCTTTTGAAGGTCTTCGAGGCACAAAGGACCCCTAGAAGATCTTCTGACCAGAAAAAGTCTCTAAAAGGTTTCCTAGGCACAAACTACCTCTAGAAAGTCTTCTAGTCAAAGGCAACCGCACGAAAGTCTCCTGGCCGCAGAGGTCTTCTAGGGACAGATGATATCCACAAAGCCTTCTGGGTACAAAAGACCTGAAGGAGGTCTTCCACAGTGAATCTTTAGAAATTCGTCTAGTCACAGAAAATATCTAATACATCTTCTCGACTCAAAAGACCTCTGGAAGGTCGTCTAACAACAAGGGACCTCTGGAATGTTCTCTGTCAACATGATTTAGTTTTAATTTTTAGAAGACCTCTGAAATGTCAGTTACAGGCCCTTTGTATAAAAAATACTTTCTGAAGAGTTTCTTCTAAGAGCCTTCTATGTACAGATTTTAAAGGTCATCAATGGTTGGTTCTTGAGGACATCTAGAGTTAGAAGTCCTTCCCTAGGTCTTCTAGGGTCTATGGATGAAAGTCTTTCCAAAAATCTTCTATGGAAAACCTTTGGGGAAATTTTTGTTCTTATAAAAGAAACTGATCAGTTCAGCTCCCAAACTCCGATATATCTCTGCTCTCAATTTCTCCCATTATTCCCCCAATCCCCGCTCACCGCAACCAACCACAGCTAATTAGTTTAACATAAACGAGAACAAGCCGAAGTGATTTCAATGAAAGTTTACATTTCCATTGGGGTCTTGCAGTGGGTATGGGCACTGTCATAAGCATCTTCTTTCGTTTCGTTGGCATTTCCATCAAAGTTGGTTTTACCTTTCTCCTCATCCACCTCCTCCCAAAGAGACCAATGTTCGTTACGTGCCTTGACATTACAAGATGTTTCCATGGCTTACATGGGGAGACATGGGTGAAAGAAGCTAAGTTTAACACTCTTGCCATAGTAGAGCTGTGATAAATTGCAAAGGAAGTTAAAGAACATATTTTAATTTTTTTTTTCAATTTTCTTTATTATAGATTCCGCAATTTTGAAACAGATTTCTTCAGATTTTAATATCAGACTCTCACATCTGAATTAGTTTTCTTTTCTGCCACTTACTTCCCTTGGCACTTCAGCTGGCCCACTTCGAATGCAATTGTTCCAGCTTCACAAAAAAAAACAAACTCTACATTTGAATGCATTTCCACTTAAGTACGACTGACTGACCTACATTCAGACCTTATTTGTAGCCAAATACTTCATCATATTAACGTAATATTACAATGGGAAGCAGAGCAGAGGTAAGAAGAGAAGACAAACACACACATGCACACACGTTTACCCATTTGGAAATGTGGAGATTGTTTTGATCCATCCGTTGATGGGATGTGATGTCTGTCTATCCTCTGCTTAAGTGGTCAGACAAATAGAGACAGTTGGGGGAAAAAAACTCAGTGATTGTTGGGTGATAGTGCGCTTGCATAGGTATGTACGTGTGTGAGTTAGTAGCTGCTTTTATTTCCTAATGACATTCAAATTTAAGGCAATTCGTTAAACAGAGATTTATAGATTTAAAGTTGTGAGGTTGGATAGCAAGAGAGGGGCTTAAGGTCTTGCGAGAGGAGACGAAAGATATTCCATGACGACATGGTCTTCTCATAGAAGACCAGAAGGTTTTCTAAAGAAGAGCAGAAGGTTTTCTCATAGAAGGCCAGAAGGGGACTTCTAGAAGACCAGAAGCGGACTTCTCACTGAAGTCCAGAAGGGGACTTCTCATAGATGACACGAAGGTGTTCTCATAGAAGGCCAGAAGGGGACTTCTCATAGAAGACCAGAAGGTATTCTCATAGAAGACCAGAAGGTCATCTCATAGAAGACCAGAAGGTATTCACCAGGAAGTTCTTCTTGTATTAAACCAGGAAGGTCTTCTCGTAGAAGACACGAACTTCTTCTCATATAACAAGGTCTCACGGAAGGCCCGAAGGTCTTCTCGTAGAAGAACAGAAGATCTTCTCGTAGAAGGACAAAAGGTCTACTCATAGAAGACCAGAAGGTCTTCTCATAGAAGGCCAGAAGGTCCTCTCATAGAAGGCCAGAAGGTCTTCTCATAGAAGGCCAAAAGGTCTTCTCATAGAAGGCCAGAAGGTCTTCTCATAGGAAGAGCAGAAGGTCTTCTCATAGGAAGAGCAGAAGGTATTCTCATATGACGACCAGAAGGTCTTCTCATAGAAGACCAGAAGGTCTTCTTATAGAAGACGAGAAGGTCGTCTCATAGTAGACCAGAAGACCTGCTCATAGAAGACCAGAAGGTATTCTCATAGAAGACCAGAAGGTCTTCCCACAGAAGACCAGAAGGTCTTCTCATAGAGGACCGGAAGTTCTTCTCATAGAGGACCAGAAGGTCTTCTCATAGAGGACCTGAAAGTCTTCTCTCATAGAAGTCCAAAAGTCCTTCTTATAGAAGACCAGAAGGTCTTCTCATAGAGGACCAGAAGGTCTTCTCATAGAGGACCAGAAGGTCTTCTCATAGAGGACCAGAAGGTCTTCTCATAGAGGACCAGAAGGTCTTCTCATAGAGGACCAGAAGGTCTTCTCATAGAGGACCAGAAGGTCTTCTCGTAGAAGGCCAGAAGGTCTTCTCACAGAAGACCAGAAGACGAGAAGATCTTCTCATGGAAGACCAGATGGTTTTCTCATGGAAGACCAGAAGGTTTGCTTATAGAGGATCAGAAGATCCTTTCACAGAGTACCAGAACGTATTTTCAAAGTCTTTTGAGAGAGTCTTCTTCCCAAGGAACTTTTTATATAAGTCCCGAGGGTCTAGAAGACCAGAAGAGTGTGAAAAGTAGAAAGTCTTCTCATAGAAGAGAAGACCAAAAATTCTTCCGGATTTCAATAAAGGTACTTGTCCTACTTTTGTGACATTCAAGTTATTTTTTTCAGTGTCTTGTTTTCTATTTTCCTTTTCCGAATTTTCGAATTTGACACATTCTTAAATAGTTTTCAATCGGCCCCGAGCTATGTTGAAAAACTTCCAACGCTGTATCAGCCAGGAGACCTTTCAATTTTGTAAAATCTGCATCGTTGGGGCAAATGGTGGTGTGGGTCGTAGCCTGGCCCAACAATTGAAGCAGAATAATCGTTTCAGTGAAATTTGTCTCTATGACATTACCTGTACCAAGGGCTTGAGAGCGGATCTATCACACATCAACACCCTACCCGAGGTGACGGCCTATAGTGGTGCGGAAAATCTCGTCGAGTCCCTGAGATGTTGTGACATAATGGTGCTGACTGGTGGTCAATCTCATTCCAAGGGAATTACAAGTCGCGAACAAATGTTTGAGGCCAATGCCAAGATAATGGTCAAACTCATCGATGCCCTGGTCAAGGCCAATAAGGAACAGCCGCATATTCATATTGTCACAAATCCGATCAATTCCTTGGTTCCCCTAACGGCGGAATTGTTAAAGAAACATGGCATCTATAATGCCAGACGTTTGATTGGTTGCACCAAAGTTGATGGCATGCGGGCTGCCACATTTCTGGCCGAGCACATGGAAGTGGATCCAAGATATGTTGAAGTTCCCGTTATTGGTGGTCATTCGTCAAAAAGTATTGTCCCGCTTATCTCACAATCCCAACCGAAATTTGCTCTGGATGACGAAACGCAAATGAAAATTGCCCAGAGAATTATACATGGTGGTGAAGAGGTGGTCTTGGCCAAAAACCACAAAGGAGCTGCCCAACTCTCGATGGGCTATTGTGTGGCTCAATTTTGTGATTCTTTGGTTCGCTCAATGCAGGGCGAGAAAAATGTTAAGGAAGTGGGTTTTATACCGTCTGACGTCAATGACGTGCCATATTTTGCTTGTCAATTTGAATTAGACAAAGAGGGGATACGAGGATGTAAGAGATTGCCACCGATGTTGCCATTCGAAATAAATCTTTATAATCAAGCTAGGGAGGATATTCGACGGAATGTTGATATAGCTATGGAATTTATGGACAAAAATAAACTGAAGTGACTATGAATACCTTAAAATGTTGTTATATTTTTAGTTGTATAACAGTTTTTCAAAGCTGATATACACATACATATGTATGCAATATTAATATTATTAGATTTTAGAAACATTTTCATAAATATGACGCATGTATAACAGTTTCGCAAAACTGTTATACGTAGGAAAATTTATGTAATTTGTATCAATATTGATATTTTTAGACTTTAGAAGTGTTTCGAAGAGTATAACCGTTGTATAACACTTCCACTAAACTGTTATACGCATGAAAATGTATGTAATTTGTAGCAATATTGTTGTTTCTTGATTATAGACATATTTCCATGAGTATAACACTTGTATAACAGTTTCACAAAACTGTTATACGTAGGAAAATGTATGTAATTTGTAGTCATATTGATATTTTTGCGTTTGAGGAATGTTTTCATGAGTATAACACTTGTATAACAGTTTCCACAAAACTGTTATACACATAAAAATGTAGGTATTTGGCTATGATATTGATATTTTTAGATTCTAGAAGTGTTTCCATGAGTATTACACTTGTATAACAGTTTCCCAAAACTGTTATACTGATCAATATACACTTATTTCACAATATTTTTAATGGTCTTGCAGTTTAGTTTTGTTTGGACGGTTGTTAAGCAGGTATAACAGCATCACAAAACTGTCATACAAATGAAAACCGCTATTAAATGACGATTATTTAACTATGTAAGTGTGTGAACCCGGAATAACAGGAACATGAAACAATTGTCGAATTTCCAAGAAAATTAAATAAATAAATAAAAATGTTCGCAATCACATATCATCATCTTTGTAGATGACTTCCAATATCGCTAATGGCGGAATTTATGTCGAAATACAGTTTTATAAGTCTGTTATACATCTGAAAATTATTACATGTAGCTTTAGTTGCGAAATTTTATTAGTATTGAAAGATTTTGCTTTGTATAACAGTTTTTCAAACATGTCATCGATACGAAAATGTGTACATTGAACTGATTTTGTTGAGATTTTTAGATTCTTTTGTCCTAACATCAAATTTGGTGCCAGTATAACAGTTTCACATAACTGTTATACACTGTAAAATCGATGTATTCTGATATATTTTGAATGCTACAGTTTCACAAAACTGTTATACTCATTAAAATATGTGAATTTTGTTGGAATTTTAATTACCTTGTAGTTTGACAGTTTATGTGAGAGTATAATACTTGTATAACAGTTATAAAAAACTGTTATACACACATTTATCGGGATTTTGAAGTTTATTGCGTGCCCATTTGATGAGGTTTTTAGATTTTTTGTCCTTACATCAAATTTGGTACCAGTATAACAGTTTCACATAACTGTTATACACTGTAAAATCCATGTATTTTGATATATTTTGAATGTTACTGCTGTTCGACATCATCTAGAAAAGCATACAGGTTGTATAACAGTTTCACAAAACTGTTATACTCAATAAAATATGTGAATTTTGTTGGAGTTTTAATTACCTTGCAGTTTGCCAGTATTGGTGAGAGTATAATAGTTGTATAACAGTTATAAAAAAACTGTTATACAAAAAAACAAAACGTTGCTGTGAAAAAGATCTGCCAATAGAACTTGAGTCGAACCTGGAGAGTTTCTAGTGTATAATTCGCATATGCTAATTTGCAATAAGTTCGAAATATATACTACTTTCCAGAGAACGGCCCTTGTAAGCCATCATCCACATCAAATATGCCTGATGAGCCGCTTAACCAACGGCGAAACGCGTCGCATAGTGGTGAGTGTGTGATAGTGTCTATCTGGCTTTCCTTTTCACTGCAAATTTCAGATCATTAAGCTCGTCTCGAAAGAGAAAACAAACACTTTAAAAAATTTTGTATTTTACCGGAATTTTCCAATTTTTTTGCACATTGGCGGACAAAACTGTTGTAAATGTAAATAAAACATAAAAAATATTTAAATTTTGTTTTGAATTAAATGGAAAATCTTTGAAAAATTCCTTTTAAGATTTTTCTTTTCCTATTTTCCCAATATAATTTTCTTTTCATTTTCCTAATTACGCATTTCATTGGAATGTCTAAATCCCCTCCATTATGAGTAGGCTTCAGATTTATTTTGTAGCCATCGTATAATTAACACATTAATTGGGCGACAGCTATCACCCTTGGCCAAGGTTAATTTAAATGAACCCCTTGTTTTTGTTATTGTTGTTTATGATGATGTTGATGTCGTTGTTGGCATTGTAAGGTCTGTAATTTTAATTAACAATCATTAGACGGCAATCGCAGCCTTGATTGTTTTCAGAGGTTTCTTTCTGTCTAATGGCCAATAAAATCGATGTAACACTAATATTAATTGTGTGAGCGGCAAGTAGATTGGCCCTTTGACACACTGACACACAAATGGAAATTAGGGGGGTGGGGGAGGGGTTACGTGTTTCGGAATTCTTCTTCCAATGTGGTTAGAGACTATTGTCACTTGGCAAACAATTAACCCTTTGCAAAGAGTGAGTCTGGTCTACAAAAGAAAACAATTTAAAATGATTTGGAAATTTCAAACAATTGACAATTTAGCAGGCATACAATGTCTTGGGCCAGACACGTGAATGCCTTGGGGGCCAAGATGAAAGGCAAAAAGTGTTAAGTTCAGTTTTCAAAAAAAAAAAAAAAAAAAAAAAAAATAGAATATTTATCAATTTTAATTAGAATTGATGAATTTTCCCTGAAGTTAATTATGTGACTTAGGTCATTTTGCTTTTTATTCCAGGGCACACATTTTTTTTCAACGGTACATCAGTACATATTTATGTACGTATGTCAATTCTAACCAATCGACGTCACCAATAAATAAATCAATTGTTTATGTTTGACAGAATTACACAATTCAACAATACCCACCCAGCAATGACAATTGAGAGCCCTAGCCCCCAGAGCTCTCTGAAAATCATGACCATAAATCAAAAATTTCCTATAACTGATTTCAATTTGAAAAAAGAAAAAAGATTTCAACACACTCGTGGAGGGCATGATATTGTACTGCGTACGCCAACCATAATAATGTCATATGGTGAGACATGAGACATGTCATGCAGGATGGGGGGAGATCGTGAAGAGGTTAAAAGGTAGCCGTAATGATTGCTGGGATGTGAGGAGAATTTAAGCAATAAAACAAATACACATGGGTGTGTTGTTGTAATTATTATTATTATTGTTGTTGTACAATATGGGTAGAAAATAGAGGCTTCAATTGATTTTGAAAGAGGTTTAGGGGGCTGGAAAATTTTCGGAAAAAATAATGAAACACTCTACGGAATGTTTTCATGATTTTTAACTAAAAATACATTTTCAAGCTTTTCTTTCATGAAAGGCTTCAGAATTAAAATTTGGCCCACAATAAAGATTCAGAAATTTTTGAAAGTTGAAGAGAAAGAAAACAATTAAAAAAGCTGTAAGTTCGGCCGGGCCGAACTTTGAATACTGTCCACCATTTGGTACAAATTTGGCATTTTTCAAAAAATTAAAATCCATTAAAAATTCTGTTAAAATCTTAAAAATACCAAATGTAGCCGTATATTAGGGTCTATAGGAAGACGTGGACCTGCATACGCAACTTTTGTCATAAGCGTGCACAGACAATTTTCTGGCATAGGCTGTAGTATTCATTGCGAACTTCAAATGCGAAATTTGAAACAATTCCGGTAAATAATGTCGCTAAAATTATCAAAATACCTTATATACGAAGACGTGGACCTGCACGGACAATTTTCTGTCACAGGCTGTAATATCCATTACGAACTTCAAATACTAAATTTGAAATAGTTCCGATAAATAATTTCGCTAATATCATTAAAATACCGAATATCGGGGGGTAACGTTATATGGGGGCTATACGAAAACGTGGACCTACACGAACAATATTCTGTCACCATTTTCTGTTTTAGTCTGTAATATCCATTTCGAACTTCGAGTACCAAATTTAAAACAATTCCTGTAAATAATGTCGCTAAAATAATCAAAATACCGAATATCGGGAGGTACCGTTATATGGGGGCTATACGAAGACGTGGCCCTACATGGCCCAATTTTTGTCTTATGCTGTAGTATCCATTTCGAACTTTGAGTACCAAATATGAAATAGTTCCGGTAAATGATGTCGCTAAAATCATCAAAATACCGAGTATCGGGGGGAACCGTTATATGGGGGCTATGCGAAGACGTGGACCGACATGGTCCATTTTCTGTCTTATGCTGTAGTATCCATTTCGCACTTCGAGTACCAAATTTGAAACAATTTCGGTAAATAATTTCGCTAGAATCATCAAAATACCGAATATCGGGAGGTACCGTTACATGGGGGCTATACGAAGACGTGGACCTGCACAGACAATTTTCAGTCATATGCTGCAGTATTCATTTCGCACTTCGAGTACCAAATTTGAAACAATTCCTGTAAATAATTTCGCTAAAATCATCAAAATACCGAAAATCGGGGGGTAACGTTATATGGGGCTATACGAAGACGTGGACCTGCACGGACAATTTTCTGTCACAGGCTGCAGTATTCATTACAAACTTCAAATACCAATTTTGAAACAATTCCTGTAAATAATTTCGCTAAAATCATCAAAATACCGAAAATCGGGGGTAACGTTATATTGGGGCTATACGAAGATGTGGACCTACATGGTCCATTTTCAATACCAAAAGTGCTGCAGACATAATATACATTTGAGTAAATTTTTATCAACTTACTTCATTTCATTTCGTTCGGAAGCTAGAGTGATTTCTACAGACGGACAGACGGGCGGAGAATGTTAAATCGACATAGAATTTTATGCTGATTAAGAATATATATATATATATATATATATATATACTTTGTGGGGTCTGAAATGTATATTTTGAGGCGTTACAAACGGAATGATAAACTTAATATACCCTCCATACTATGGTGGAGGGTATAAAAATTAAGGATTAAGTCAAGGGAGACAGTTTTTTTCGATTACTGGCCTTTGAATGGGAATCTTGCAACCCCGCTAAAAAATTATTCCCTCTTCTAGACTTTCTCAACCTTATATTATTCCCCAAACTTTCATTATTCATTAATCAAAATTAAAAAAAAATTAACATTTTGCTTTAAATAAAAATATTTCTTAAAAATATCTTTATAACCCCCT